TCAAATGTAATTCATAAAGGATGAAAGTGAATAAAAAAAATTGAACCGCAAACCCATTGGAAAGACAAAGAGCACTTGAAGAACGTACCAGAGCGGGTTTCACAAAACTCACATAAGGAGTTGCTGAAGTCGATGGGGCCGACGCTTCAGTGCTCATGATTACCGATTTGAGTCACTTGAGCTTGTGCCCGAACAACGTGAACAACCTTCTGAAAGTATCCAAATCACAAAAGCAAACAAAAAACGGATTGAAGCGAAGTCATCTAGTCAGTACATGACCAATGACAAAACACTACACTTATCGAAAGCTCATAACATCGAAGTGGAAAAAGATTGGTGATTTTGACTGCCTACACCTCTCAAAAACTAGTAATGACAAGCCTTTAGCACTAGAGCAGTCAAAAAATCATCTCCCATCAAAAAGCTAAGGCTCAAGAAAAAATGTTAAGGTTGGAACGGGTGCATAGCAAAAGTTCTAAAGCAAAGCAAGCAACTGAATTTGAATGCGGGTTGTCGTGTTTGCGGTCGCATTGTACGCAACCGACTAAATGACGTCTGGTTACTCCGTGCTTTCGTGCGCTCGTCCATTCTCTCTTCGTTATTTTTGTTCAGAACTACTTCATGTGTTCCACGAATGCTGTGTAATTCCGCATCTATATTGACATGAAGTAGTTTCTGAACAAAAATAACGAAGAGAGAATGGACTAGCGCACGAAGATTCGACTGCGCGAATACATGGAGCAGAACAGCGTTCAATCTTCCATCCCGCTTCAAAACGCAGATTTTCTTATCACAAGGGAAAGCGAGGTAGAAGAAGGAACGAATGAGCAGCGATATGGAAAAAGAAAAGAGGCTGAAAACGCCCAAAAACGAGCTCATCGGAAAAAAGAGAAAATCCTTTCGGAACTGTTCGCCCGTCTTAATTCAGGACAGGTAGTTGTGGAAACTACGCAGCGGGTTCCTGGAACAAATAGTAGGACTGAGCAAAAATAAGAGAATGGACGATCACAAGAATGCACGTCTTGTCGGATACGCAGAGCACAAGAGCGCTCATTC